AACAGACATCATCTTTAGAGACATTTTTTTTAGAAATAAATTCCAATTTCAAGGGATCGGTTGGTTATTATTGCATGAAATAGACAAAATGAATATTCAGCGTGATTGGAATAACATTTTGAACAGAATAATTTTTATAAATATTCGTTGGTCTTCCCATAGAATGAATAGAATAAATTTCACACTGAAAAAAAATTACTTTCGCCAAATATTCATTTACTTGGGAGAAGTATTTTTTTTTAAACCGTATTTTTCAAATCGAGTCATTCCCAGGCGAGCCTGATTAGGTTTCAATTATAACTATCATGTTGTTCTAGAGAATGACTGTTACACGTGACCTTGAACTCCTCCAATGATTATTCATTTCTCCTAAATTTCTTATTTTTATAGGAAAGAATTTCGATTAATTTTTTAACGTTTATCATTATTGAGGGAGTTCCCTTAATATCATAACTAACATAATCATCTCCTAGAGCAATATAATTATCATAATTATATTATAATATATTATGAATATTTATATTCATAATTATAAATATATTATAATATAATTCATACTAGATATATTATATTATATAATATAAATATATTATAATTACCACAATATAATAATGATAAAATTATGATTATATTATGATAATCCCAATGAGAATTGCTCAGTATGAACTCCACCGGAGAAATACGGTATCGAAAAACGAAATATTCATGTTTTCAAATAAAAATTCATTTTAATTATATATTAAATAACTCTCAAGTAAATATTCTATAAAAGTAATATTAAAAATATTCAAACAATTTCCTCGGATTATTCCATTCCCCCGCAGGCAACTGCATCACCCAAAGCCACTTGGCGTCGCCAGCGGCGAGCAGCGGTCTCACCTCCTGGCGCCCCCTGAACGACTACCCCTTCTACAAGCTCTCCTTCACCTTCGAGGAGAACTCCACCTCGACGCTCTCCCTCTGGAGCCTGATCCCCTCCTTCCGCACGCCGCCAGCCCCGGTGATCTTCCGGATCTCCATCTCCCCGGGGTGCAGCCACCTCGTCTGCCTGCACACCGACGGCGCAGTCTCCCTCTGGGACCTCCCAAGCCTGAAACTCCGAAAGAAGTGGAGCCTCCCCGATCAGCCGGGCTACGACGCCCAGAATCCCCTGCCCCCGAAGAGGCTCCGCAGGAGCCCCACCACCTCGGACTTCCACCCCGTGGACATCGGCTGGTGGTCGGACCACTCCATCATCATCGCGAGGTACTCCGGAGCCGTCTCCGTCTGCTCAATGTCCAGCCTGTCGAACCTCCTGGGCGCCAGCCCTGAATTCCTCTCTGGCCAGCCCCAAATCTCCGAGTTCTACTCGGGGAAGGGCTTCCTAGCCCTCGACTGCGAGACCCTGGTGACCTCGAAAAAGCGAAAGAGAACCCCCAGCCACGACGGCTCCCCCTCCGACGCCGAGGAAAGCGACCAGGAGGAAGACGAACTGGAGCCAATAACCCTCCTAGACTACTCCATAAACCTCCTAAAATCCCTGATCTACTCCATAACCGACATCGAGAGGTTCCAGCCCAAGCGAAAGAAATCAAAGATCCTGCAGAGGACCTACAGACTCCTGGGGCTGAAGAGCACGACCCCCGAGGAGCTCTACGCCCGCAAGATCGACATCGAGGAGTACGAGGACGCCCTGAGCCTCGCCAACACCTACAACCTGGACAAGGACCTGGTGCACCAGACCCGCTGGAGGAAGTCCGAGTTCTCGTTGGCAGCCATCAACGACCACCTGAGCAAGGTCTCAAAGAGGTCCTGGGTCCTCAACGAGTGCATCTCCAGAGTGCCAGACACCCTGGAGGCGGCCAGAGAGCTGTTGAACTTCGGTCTTCGAGGGGCCAACCTGGAGACATTCCTGTCGATATCCACCCACGACGACGGCAAGCTGATGGACGAGAAAGTCAACGAGGAGCTGGCAGAGCTGAATCGTGGACCCAACAGTCTCAAGCAGGTTCAGAAGATCAACGACCTGCTGAAGGGGATGAAGGAGGGCCTGACGGAGCCCCAGAAGGAGCTGATCGGTTACAGAAGACAACTGCTGGATCACCTGGACAAACTGAAGACCTACGAGATCCTCATCGGGGAGGGCTTCAAGTACAGAAAGGAGTTCTACGAGAAGTTCAGGAGGCTCTCGCTCCTGGAGAATGCTGTTAAATTCGCCAGGGACTGCGATTACAGGGCTGTGGAGATCATGTTCACGTATCACGGGGGCAAGCTGATGCCCCACTGGCTGGCGATAATCAGTTGCTTTCCGGAGACGCTGAGTCCTGGGGAGTACGAGAAGTTACTGCCAGAGTGCGACAGTGAGGGACAGCTGTATCTGCTGTATCAGAAGGAGTTGAGGACCAGGGACTGGTCCGAGAAGTCCCAGTTCGAGGGGATCGCCTCGGGGGAGTCCACTGGGGACTCAGAGACGATCTACGAAGACGATCCCTCATTGGCCCCCTACAGAACCACAGAATTAACGATGAACTTGCTGACCAAGTGGTACAAATCTCGGGCTAATCAGATTGAACGAGATAGCTGCATCGTGGAGAATGCCCTTGAACTGATTAAAATAGGAAAGTCACACAGGATTGATGGCCTCGAGGACCTCCTGGTGGAGCTGGAGACCCTGAACGACCTCATTTACAAGATCTACCTGGAGGACATGTCCCTCGCGCAGCTGGAGAAGCTGTCGAACCTCCAGAAGCTCCAGCTGCTGATGAGCAGAACGACGGAGGAGAGCTTCATCAACGACATCACGAGTTTTCTGCTGCCTTTTCTTTATAGGAGGCAGGAGCACCTGGACGTCGCCCTCGAGAAGCACCTGTTCAGAGAGTATCTGGTGGAGTTGAGTCAGGCTGACCTGACGTTTCCGTCGATTTTGTTCCACAATCTGGGCCAAGACCCCAGGATCGTCGAGGTCATTGATGACGTAATGACACTGGCTCTAGGATGCATTCACTCGTGTGTCAGTCCTGACATGTACGAAAAGGCTAGAGATATTTTTGATGCTGTATCAAAGAATTTCAGTATTAAAGACTCTTCGAGGTCTGAGAATCCTCTGGACGATCTTGGGAAGGAGCTCGAGTGCCTGAAGATACTGAATAAGTACCACGTGAGCTCGACGATCAGATTTATAAGTGAGAATAAGGAGAATCCTGAGCCGGTGAGAGTCCTCCTGAACGAGATGGCGAGTTCGTTGAAGGAGAGATCACCTGCGCCCCCTCAGGAGGCTTGGACGGAGCTTCTTAATGATATCCTGGAGGTCCAGGGACTGGTATTCAACTGTATAGAAACGGAGATTTGTTTTGAGATAGTGGCTTCGACGAAATTGTCGTCTGGAGTGAAGGCCAATATTCAGGATTGTGTTTCTCTGATCGAGACGAGGAGGAAGGAGGGATCGTTTCTGAAGATATCGTACCCCAGGGCGATTGAACTGGTCGTGGAGGCGGCCAGGAGGTACTTTGACTCTTCGAAGAGTCTGCATGATCCAACGATGGAGCTCGCCAAGGCTTGCTTGAATCTCATTGATGAGGATGATAAGGTGGTGCAGAGGGAGTTCGATCTGATCAATGCTCTTCAGGTTCTGGATGAGTTCAGTTTGAATATTCTGCCACTTCAGGTAAGGAGCCTTCAGAATTTTTATTGCTGCTGAGTGGTGAATGCCTACTCATCAACTTCATACTTCATAATTTTTTTATATTATTTTTTTTATTGTGACTATTTAATTGGTATGAGAAATGAATGGGATATCAGTTTTTTTTTGTTCAGGCCCAATATAAGTGACTACTTAAATGTGGGTCGTCACCTGAATTTTAAGCGCCACCCTATTTAAATCGCTACGCGAATTAGGGACCTATATGAATTAGATCACGACTTGAATAGAGTTTGCCATTTGAATACAGGCTTTGGCTTAAATATAGGCCGTAGGCTTAATATTCGTCGCCGCTTAATTAGTCGTTACCTGATGTTAAAGGGCACTTGAATATACAGCGCACATCTACATATTGACTCACATAATATTGGTCATCACCTGATTCAGGTCGCCATTTGAATTCAATTGGGACTTGAATATAAGACGCCACCTAAATATTGGTCAGCACATAATATCCGTCGCCACATAATTATTGCCACTATTTAATGTTAAAGACCACTTCAATATATATCACCACCTAAATATTGCATGCACATAATATTGGTCATCACCTAATTTACCTCTTCATCCAAATAGCGCTTGCCACCTGGCTTTAGGTCACGACTTGAATGTAGGTCGCCATTTAAATACAAATTGCGACTTGAATATTGGGCGCCATCTAAATATTGGTCAGCACATAATATTACTTGCTATCGAATTATTCGTCATCACATAATATTCCACCTCGAAGTAGGCAGATATTTCAATATATATCACCGCATAATATTGGTCTTCACCTAAATTAGGTCGTCACATAAATGTAGTTCGTGACAATATAGGTCGACATTTGGATACAGATTCGGATTTAAATATACAGCGCTACCTAAATATTGGTCAGTTGATAAATTTTGTCTTCACCTGAATTAGGTGGCCACCTAATGTTGGTCACCACATGATATAAATTCTTTCCTAATCCTTGGCCACTTCATAATATTGGCCTGCACCTAAATATTGTTCACCACATAACATTTTGCATCACCTGAATTAGGACGTCACCTAAATGTTGGTCGCGACTTAAATATAGGTCACCATAAACTAAAATGTCTCATTTCGATAGTTCTATCACCACCATCAAAGCCCTAGATCACCCAATCACAATCAACAAACAATATACTTCCCCACAAGTCACCCTGTCTACTCCCCTCCGCAGGTACGAAACTGCCCGAACAAGCTCAAGCTAATCGAAAACTGTCTCGACACCTGTGAGGGTGCCTACAAGCGCCAGCAGCGTCTCCTAACCCTCTCCTCCTACCTCCACCTAGACACCCACAACCAAAAGCACCGCGAGGGCAAGATTCTCTCACTGATCGCCACCAAATCCTTCCAAGTCGAGGACTTCGCCACCTGCGCATCCACCTGCAAACAGCTCATCGACAGCAGCTACTCCCCCGCCTGGGGGATTATCCACAAGCTAGCCTCGTGTCAGAGCTACCCAGACCTGGAATTCAAGAAACGCTGCTTCTGGTTCACCATCACTCACGGCCCCCCTGACATCCTCGAGGACTCCCTCAGGCAAGTCCACCTCCTCGAGATCCAGTTGCTGAACAAAAACCTCGAGACCTGGATGTCCTCTCACGCCTACGACGATCTGGCAACCGATCCCGACGAGGACAGCGACCCTGACGATGACTTTGCAGACGCCATCACCACTCCCCAGGTCGAATCCAGGGAGTTCGTCCCCAAGATCCTGGAGACGTCGACTGGAATCGTCAAGAATTCCGCCCAGATCTTCAATCAGTCCCTCGGGATTCTCAGGAGCGTCAGCAATCAGGGATTCTGGAGGGCCGCCCTCAACATCAACCGGAAAAACGTCTTCGAGGACACGTACGACGTCGATGAGGACGCCACTCTGGAGAAGTACAGGGGAATTTTGCAGAGCTTTCCGTTCTTCTATCAATCGCTGCACGAGAATTGCCTCGTCAGCAGGATCGACACGAGGTACTCCAAGTACTCTCAACCCGATGTTGATAATACGAAGTTGAAGATGTGTCAGACTCTCGTGAGGGTCGCGTTGCTCAGCGAGACGGCTTCCTATGGGCTGGAGATTTCTGACATCAGACATTTCTTCGTCCAGTGCTGCAGTCATGTTATGAATGACGACTGGACTCTTGGGTTCTCGTATCTGCTGGCTTGCGGGGGGGATGTTGAGGAGGTGATGAGGGGGTTGAAGAGGAGCGAGCTTCATGTTCAGGGGATTATTTATTTTTATGGGGTGCAGATGTTTAGGGGGATGTTCCCGGGGGATGAGAGGTATCTCTTGTACGACCCCATGGAGGTGGTGAGGGGGATGGTTGAGCAGGCGTGGGGGGGCGATGATGAGGTGAAGAAGGCGATTGTTTACTGGGTTGATAAGCTGAGAGAGGAGGAAGTTGAAGAGGTGAATGGAGGGGAGTCGATTGGAGAACAAACGGTTGAGCAGGCGAGGGGGGGTGATGATGAGGCGAAGAAGGCGATTGTTGACTGGGTTGATAAGCTGAGAGAAGAGGAAGTTGAAGAGGTAAATGGAGGGGAGTCGATTGGAAAACAAACGGAATTGGAGAAAGAGGCAAATGACTTGGGGGGAGGGACTTTTAAAGTGGTTGATGATGTGGAGGGAGACTGGGGGGATGACGCCTGGGGTGATGATTTCTCGGCGGAAGTTGAGGAGGAAGAAATTGAGGGGAATGAAGAGTGGAAGGAGGTGGGAAATTTGGGGGAAAGCGGGAGCGCTGAGGGGGATGAGGCTGGGGGTGCCTGGGGTGACGCTGAATTCAATGATGACGATATTGTTGTTGACCTTGAAGAGGTCAAAGATGAGGTTGAAGATGATGAAATTGATAAGGTGATTTTAGATGGTGAAAAAGAAAATTGTGAGGGTTTTAAACGATTGGAGGAAAAAAAATGTGGGAAAATTGAGGATAATGGGGAGGGGTGGGGGGATGAGAGTGGATGGGGTGATGATTGGCCAGAGGATGGGGAGACGGCGGGTGCGGTTGATGAAGGGGAAACGAAAATTAAAGGAGAAGTGGGGGAAATTAGGGAAGAGAAGATGGAAGTCAGTGAAGAAAAGGGAGAAGTTGATGAGAAGAAAGTGACAGAAAAAATTGATTCAGCGGAGTTATCTGAAGGTCAAGAGTGGGGCGAAGAGGGGGCTGGGTGGGACAGTTGGGGGGACTTCCCGGAAGTTGAAGAGGACGGAATTGTGGGAGAGAAATCGTCGGGTGGGGATTTTCCGACTGCGAGGGAAGACGACATTCCGATTGTTGATGACTCCACGGAGGAAGAACGGTTTCAAATATTTGAGGATTTATTCACGAATATGGAAAGCAAGAATGATTATGAGATGGTGAAGGAGGTGCTGAAGAGGTGGCCGCAGTTCCAAGAGCCTGAATTTGTTTGTGTTGATAAAAATCCGGTTCTTCTGATGATTGAGAGAGTCAGTTGGGTTTTTGGGGGGAAGGGTCAGTCCAAAGGGGAGAGCATCGTCCTGGAGGAGTATAGGGATCTTTTGCGAGGGCAGCTAATTCCTGAAGAGGTAAAAATTGGGTTTTAGATATCGAAATTAAGGTGTGGGAAAAAATTGCTTAGACAAACCTCAAGAATTCGATTGTGAATTATAGTGGATTTGTATGGAATTTTTTATTGAAAATACTATCAATTTTTGGATAGAAATTGTTTTAGTAAAATAAATGTAGAATTCCATCTTTTGCTTCCGAATAGCAATTTTGTAATCTCTGAAATTTAAGTTTCCAATTTTTNGGGGTGCCTGGGGTGACGCTGAATTCAATGATGACGATATTGTTGTTGACCTTGAAGAGGTCAAAGATGAGGTTGAAGATGATGAAATTGATAAGGTGATTTTAGATGGTGAAAAAGAAAATTGTGAGGGTTTTAAACGATTGGAGGAAAAAAAATGTGGGAAAATTGAGGATAATGGGGAGGGGTGGGGGGATGAGAGTGGATGGGGTGATGATTGGCCAGAGGATGGGGAGACGGCGGGTGCGGTTGATGAAGGGGAAACGAAAATTAAAGGAGAAGTGGGGGAAATTAGGGAAGAGAAGATGGAAGTCAGTGAAGAAAAGGGAGAAGTTGATGAGAAGAAAGTGACAGAAAAAATTGATTCAGCGGAGTTATCTGAAGGTCAAGAGTGGGGCGAAGAGGGGGCTGGGTGGGACAGTTGGGGGGACTTCCCGGAAGTTGAAGAGGACGGAATTGTGGGAGAGAAATCGTCGGGTGGGGATTTTCCGACTGCGAGGGAAGACGACATTCCGATTGTTGATGACTCCACGGAGGAAGAACGGTTTCAAATATTTGAGGATTTATTCACGAATATGGAAAGCAAGAATGATTATGAGATGGTGAAGGAGGTGCTGAAGAGGTGGCCGCAGTTCCAAGAGCCTGAATTTGTTTGTGTTGATAAAAATCCGGTTCTTCTGATGATTGAGAGAGTCAGTTGGGTTTTTGGGGGGAAGGGTCAGTCCAAAGGGGAGAGCATCGTCCTGGAGGAGTATAGGGATCTTTTGCGAGGGCAGCTAATTCCTGAAGAGGTAAAAATTGGGTTTTAGATATCGAAATTAAGGTGTGGGAAAAAATTGCTTAGACAAACCTCAAGAATTCGATTGTGAATTATAGTGGATTTGTATGGAATTTTTTATTGAAAATACTATCAATTTTTGGATAGAAATTGTTTTAGTAAAATAAATGTAGAATTCCATCTTTTGCTTCCGAATAGCAATTTTGTAATCTCTGAAATTTAAGTTTCCAATTTTTCCCAACGTGTGGTATTTTTTATTTATTTATTTTTTAATTCTCTTAAAAGGGATCAATCGAATTTCATTATTTTTTTCATGAATATAGACCTCAATAAGTTCTATTCACTGACAGCAATTAAAATTAAATTTTCCATGCAGATTCAAAAAAATTGATATTTTTCCAAAATCGATTTTTCAAATTCAACATTAAATGTTAAAATTACGATAATATAATTGATGATTTTCATTTTCTCTAGGTTCTCCATCAATTTATCGAAAAGAGTGACGAAAAATCCAGTCTCGAAGAAAAAATTTTCCTCAGACTATCCTCGAATATCCCGGAGCTCCATGAGGAAGCTGTCGACCTGATGAAGTCCTCGAACCTCTCTGAATTTCCATTACCAATCCTCGAGGAAGCTTTCTTCAAGAACTTAACACCATCATTCCCTCCCCACCACCCGATCTACGATAAAATCCTCGAGCAGATGTTCCTGAATCATGATTTACCTGAGCTGGAGCCCAACATGAGGATATTGATAAAAAAATTGATGGAGCAGAAACATATTCCTTATGCGGTTGCCCTCTGGAACCAACTGGCTGGTGTGCCACCAGCATTGACCACCTTCGAGAGTTGCTTTCAGCTTTTAATGAAGGAATAAATTGTCTGATTATTTCTAATTGCAAAATGATCACCAATCGAGTGTTAAATTCAGTATCGAAGTGGCATAATGTAATGGAAGAGTTTTTTGCACGTTCAAATGTAAAATTATGTCAGTGATGAGCACACAAACGATTAAATTTAGCAGAAAAGCCCAGCAACTCGATAGAAAATTCTATTGAATTTCTATTGCACTTCAATGGAAAATTCCATTGATTTTTGGTCAATTCCATCAAAGAATTCTTCAAACTCAATTTTCAATGGAAATCCAAAAAGATTTTCTAACGAATTCAGAAATTTTTCATAGGTATAAATTGAAAAAAAAAAAAAAATTCAAGACATTTTTCGTCGAGAATTTTATAAATTACAAAAGCAATCAAATTAAAATGAAATCCGACTTTTCTCCTCGAAAGAACTCTCCAAGACGAACGCACAAAAATGTATTGAAACATTAATTCATGATCTCCCACTTCACTACTGAATTCTCAAATGTAAATTGTAAATATATAAATAAATTAATGAATTTCTACAACAGCCCCTCAATCTCCCTCAACAACCCCACCAACAGGCTAGGTAAAAACCAAAACACTCAAAATATTATTAATATCCATATTTATTACGCGAAATTTATGACAATGAATCCACCTACTCATAGAAATGCATTTGGTATACCTTCCGGATGAATAAAAAAAGAGAGAACCACCTACGGCGAATGATTTAACAATCTAAATCTTAAATCAAATCGAATAGATCACTCGGTTCAGCATCGTGTTAACCACATAAAACGTGGTTACAAATCAACCACCAGTCTTGCCCCCCCACCCATTTAGTCAACCTCCTCCATCCTGGAGGCGTCCTCGCTCTCGGCCTCGATGGCCTGCACATCCTCGACCTTGACCTCCTCATGAACCGTGTCATCCTCGTCGATCCCCAAGCCCAGCTTGATCATCCTGTAGATGCGTTTGGCGTGAACCTGGGGCTCATCGAGAGTGAACCCAGAGGACAGCAGAGACGTCTCAAAAAGCAGAACAACAAGATCCTTGACAGCCTTGTCATTTTTGTCAGCCTCAGCCTTCTGCCTGAGAGCCTCAATGACCGAGTGATCAGGATTGATCTCCAGGTGCTTCTTGGCGGCCATGTAGCCCAACGTCGAGGCGTCCCTCAGGGCCTGGGCCTTCATGATCCTCTCCATGTTGGCGGTCCAGCCGTACTGCGACGTGACGATGCAGCAGGGCGAGTCCACGAGACGATTGGATACCACCACCTTCTCCACTTTGTTGTCAAGAATGGTCTTCATAATCTTGCAGAGCTCCTCGAACTTGGCCTTGTCCTCCTCCCTCTTCTTCTTCTCGGCCTCGTCCTCAGGGAGCTCCAGGCCCTCTTTGGTGACGGACACCAGCTGCTTTCCATCGAACTCCTTCATCTGCTGGACCACGTACTCGTCGATTGGCTCAGTCATATACACCACCTCGAAGCCACGCTTCTTGACACGCTCCACGAACGACGAGTTGGCCACCTGCTCCTTAGATTCACCAGTGATGTAGTAGATGTGCTTCTGGTTCTCCTTCATCCGTGCCACGTACTCCTTCAGTGAGCACACCTCCTCGCCTGAGGCTGATGTGTTGTACCTCAGCAGGTCCGCCAATTTAGTCCTGTTGGTGGTGTCCTCGTGGATCCCAAGCTTGATGTTCTTGCTGAACTGCTCGTAGAACTTCTTGAAGTTCTCCTTGTCCTCCGTGAGCTCCTCGAAGAGCTCCAGGCACTTCTTGACGAGGTTCTTGCGGATCACTTTGAGGATCTTGTTCTGCTGCAGCATCTCACGGGAGATGTTCAGGGGAAGGTCCTCAGAGTCCACTACTCCCTTCATGAAGTTCAGGTACTCGGGGATCAGCTCCTCGCAGTTGTCCATTATGAAGACTCGGCGGACGTACAGCTTTATGTTGTTCTTGCGTTTTTTGTTCTCGAAGAGGTCGAATGGCATGCGACGGGGGACGAAGAGGAGCGCTCGGAACTCAAGCTGACCCTCCACGGAGAAGTGCTTCACCGCTAGGTGGTCCTCCCAGTCGTTTGTCAGAGATTTGTAGAACTCGCCTGGGGAGAAGATGAGGAATTAATTTTGTTGTTCAAGTGATTGTTGATTAGTATATGAGACATTTCGAGATGTTGGGGGCGGGGAATTGTCTAAGAAAGATTTTCATTGAAATAATAATAATAATAACAATAATAATAATAAGTGATTTGAGATTGGTCCTCAAATCACTCATTATAGAGATGATTTAGGCTTGAAAGTATCGGAAATCAACTTGGAATGGTTATTTAATTTTGTTCAAATTTCACTGTTTTCAATTATGGACTTATAATTTCAGTAATGAGTCAGGTCAGGAGCAAACCTCAGAAGCCCTTGTATGAAAATGAAAAACTTCTAAAAAAAAAAGCCTTGTGACATTTGCATCCAAATTCACTCATTATGCATGTCAATTCCATTCCAATTTTATTCAAATGTTGACTCTGTTAATGATGTATTCATCTTGGTAATAATTCGCTTTATGAAAAGTCCCTGAAAACCTTTCCGTCGTCGAGATAAATGTCAAGAGACATTTTTTTTCTTGTTTTTCTCAAAAACCCACTAGACCCAGAATAATCACAAATTTCCAACCAGAAAAACTATACAAATTCATTGTCCTACAATCAATGAATCTTGAAGCTAAATTAATCACGTCTGGTTTCTCAGAAAAGAAAAATAAATAAAAGTCAAATCGAAAAATGACGTGGAAAACTAAACTAATGAAATAATGAAAACATCATTGATAAATAAAAAAACATGGTGTACACACCATATTCCTCCTGTGTGATATCATCTGGGTTTCTCGTCCAGATGGGCTTAGTTTTGTTCAACTCCTCGTCCTCCTCGTACTTCTCCTTGATAGTCTTCTTCTTCTTCTTTTTCTCCTTGTCCTCAGCCTCCTCGTCCTCGCCCACATCCTCGATCTTTGGTTTGCCGTCCTCCTCCTCCTTTTTCTCGCCCTCAGCCTCGGCCTCGGCCTCGTCGTCACTCAGCTCCTTCTCTCGCTCCTTCTGGACAACGAGTTTGATGGGATAACCGATGAACTGCGAGTGCTTTTTCACGATCTCCTTGATCTTGGACTCCTCGAGGTACTCGGACTGGTCCTCCTTGATGTGGAGAACGATCTTGGTACCTCTGCCCAGGGGCTCACCAGGGTCTGGGCGCACTGTGAAGGAGCCCCCAGCCGCCGACTCCCACAGGTACTGCTCGTCGTCATTGTGTTTGGAGACGACAGTGACCTTGTCGGCGATGAGGTACGCAGAGTAGAAACCAACGCCGAACTGACCGATCATGGAGATGTCAGCGCCTGCCTGCAGGGCCTCCATGAATGCCTTCGTCCCAGACTTGGCGATTGTTCCAAGGTTGTTGACGAGGTCGGCCTTGGTCATGCCAATTCCTGTGTCGATGATCGTCAGGGTGCGGTCGTTCTTGTTGGGGATGATCTTGATGAAGAGATCCTTGCCACTGTCCAACTTGCTTGGGTCTGTTAGGGATTCGTAACGGATCTTGTCGAGGGCGTCGCTCGAGTTGGAGATCAACTCTCTGAGGAAGATCTCTTTGTTGGAGTAGAAGGTGTTGATGATCAGCGACATCAACTGCGCGATCTCAGCCTGGAAGGCGAAGGTCTCGACCTCGCCGGTCGTCTCCATTTCTTCTGGCATCTGGGGGAGAAGGGGAGGCTTAGATATTTGGTTCTGTTATTTTTTGAGAATGGATAATTCTTTTTTTCTTTGGTTGAATTATTTCGGTTACTAGCCGTGAGCGATTGATGAATTCAGTAACGAAGCGGTAAAACGGTTCAAGTCGACTTAGCTCTCTATTGATTTTTCGAGGAATATCTCCGAATCTAAGGGAGATAGCGAAATTTTCATGGTGAGCTTTTTCATAGATCTCAATTCGCTCTACAAACAAGGTTATAACGAAAATTTTACTATTTGCCTTGCATTCCGAGATATTCATTGAAAACTGACCAAAAGCTAAAATCGACTTAAACCGTTTTACCGCTTCGCTACTGAATTGAAAATAAGGTGAGCCTCAAACACAAAATTCTAGATCTCAGAGTAGATTTTAAAATGGAGTGGGTTTGGGCAAGTATTTATCTTATTTTGTGGGCTAAATAAATAAATAAATTAATTAATTAATTAATTCACTGGTCCTCGGCCCCAAAAAAATTGAATTTCCATTAAAAATATCAATTCATTCGGTAAAAACTCAACTATTGACTGCATCAATTTAAATAATTGAGTGGAAAAATAACCAAAACCGAGGAAAAGTCATTAATTTTTCTCGTCGACCAAAGGTAATTAATTTTTTCAATCAATAAAAATTGACAGATGAATGATTAACTAATGGAATAATTTAGAGACCAAAATTATAAGGGCGGGGCCCGGGGTGAAATGGACATTCTCTATTATTTTCTTAAATATTCGTCACTCAGGAATAAAAATTATTCCAGATCATTCCAAATTCAATGAGTCATTAGCGCTTGGAGAAAATTCACACGTGTCCATTTTACCCCACTTGCCACTGCGTCAATTGACATAATTCAACTGCACCCCTGATGACTTATCGATTACCCCATACATACAAAGAGACACCAAATTAGGTTATAAAACCCCCAGCAAGTCCAAATTGAAAATTACATGAATTTGCTCCCTCTCCCTTTCCCCTAATAAAATAATTAACAAATAAATTTATTTAAAAAAATAAAACGTGTTTGAGGCTTTCTGAGAATAGTTTTAAAAAATGTCAGAGCCCTACATATAAAATTCCTCGGCCCCAACAAATCAATTCTCACCCAAAAAAGGATTGATTCCCTCGATAAAAACCATCAACAGTCGATCAAATCAATTAAAATCGTTAGATTGAAGAAAAATAACCAAATTTTCTTATATATACTCAATTTTTTTTCTTAAAATAAAAATTGACAGATGAATCATCAACCATTAGAATAATCTAGACATAAAAATTATTAAGTTAAAATAATTTCTAGAATTCAAATAGTTCAACTGCATCCCCGACGACTTATCGATTATCCCAGACAAAGAGACTCCAAACTAGGTTATAAGAGCTCAGGAAAATGCAAAAGAAATTCCAAATTAAAAATTACATAAAAATTACATGAATTTGCTCCCTCTCCCCCTAATAAAACAATTAACAACTCAATTTATTAAAAAAATGAAACGTGCTTTTGAGACCTGACAACCACCAAGAAAAATGTCACAGCCCCACATAAAATTCCTCGACCTCAAAAAAATCAATTTCCAGTCAAAAAAGTATTAATTCCCTCAATAAAAACCATCAACAGTCGATTAAATGAATTAAAACAGTTAAATGAAAGAGAAATAACCAAAAATGGGGACTCCTCATCGATTTTTCCGTCCCCCAAAGACAACTGACTATTTGGCATGACAAAAAATGACAGATTAATCACCAACCACTGGAATAATATAGACAAAATGCGGAGAATGATGAAACAATAATTTTCAATGCAACTTACTTTGTTCAGCGAGAACTATTCAAAGGAAGTAATGCGATATCTCGAGGTGATTCAGCAACGAGACGCTAACCGGTGTGTGTATGCTGCGCTTCTACAGTGTCGCGCCAATTCGTCGATGCCTTTATATACTCCCCCCGATTCTCGAATGTTCTAGAAGCTTCTAGAAGCTTCGTGAGCCTCTCCACAGCCAACTTCCGCTCAAAATGCTTCCAGAGGAGCCACTATTTTCCCCCAATTTCGACAGTTGAATCTTTTTAACGAAACAGAAGTGATTTTTAAAATTAATTAGAGCAGACGGATATTNGAAAATAAGGTGAGCCTCAAACACAAAATTCTAGATCTCAGAGTAGATTTTAAAATGGAGTGGGTTTGGGCAAGTATTTATCTTATTTTGTGGGCTAAATAAATAAATAAATTAATTAATTAATTAATTCACTGGTCCTCGGCCCCAAAAAAATTGAATTTCCATTAAAAATATCAATTCATTCGGTAAAAACTCAACTATTGACTGCATCAATTTAAATAATTGAGTGGAAAAATAACCGAAACCGAGGAAAAGTCATTAATTTTTCTCGTCGACCAAAGGTAATTAATTTTTTCAATCAATAAAAATTGACAGATGAATGATTAACTAATGGAATAATTTAGAGACCAAAATTATAAGGGCGGGGCCCGGGGTGAAATGGACATTCTCTATTATTTTCTTAAATATTCGTCACTCAGGAATAAAAATTATTCCAGATCATTCCAAATTCAATGAGTCATTAGCGCTTGGAGAAAATTCACACGTGTCCATTTTACCCCACTTGCCACTGCGTCAATTGACATAATTCAACTGCACCCCTGATGACTTATCGATTACCCCATACATACAAAGAGACACCAAATTAGGTTATAAAACCCCCAGCAAGTCCAAATTGAAAATTACATGAATTTGCTCCCTCTCCCTTTCCCCTAATAAAATAATTAACAAATAAATTTATTTAAAAAAATAAAACGTGTTTGAGGCTTTCTGAGAATAGTTTTAAAAAATGTCAGAGCCCTACATATAAAATTCCTCGGCCCCAACAAATCAATTCTCACCCAAAAAAGGATTGATTCCCTCGATAAAAACCATCAACAGTCGATCAAATCAATTAAAATCGTTAGATTGAAGAAAAATAACCAAATTTTCTTATATATACTCAATTTTTTTTCTTAAAATAAAAATTGACAGATGAATCATCAACCATTAGAATAATCTAGACATAAAAATTATTAAGTTAAAATAATTTCTAGAATTCAAATAGTTCAACTGCATCCCCGACGACTTATCGATTATCCCAGACAAAGAGACTCCAAACTAGGTTATAAGAGCTCAGGAAAATGCAAAAGAAATTCCAAATTAAAAATTACATAAAAATTACATGAATTTGCTCCCTCTCCCCCTAATAAAACAATTAACAACTCAATTTATTAAAAAAATGAAACGTGCTTTTGAGACCTGACAACCACCAAGAAAAATGTCACAGCCCCACATAAAATTCCTCGACCTCAAAAAAATCAATTTCCAGTCAAAAAAGTATTAATTCCCTCAATAAAAACCATCAACAGTCGATTAAATGAATTAAAACAGTTAAATGAAAGAGAAATAACCAAAAATGGGGACTCCTCATCGATTTTTCCGTCCCCCAAAGACAACTGACTATTTGGCATGACAAAAAATGACAGATTAATCACCAACCACTGGAATAATATAGACAAAATGCGGAGAATGATGAAACAATAATTTTCAATGCAACTTACTTTGTTCAGCGAGAACTATTCAAAGGAAGTAATGCGATATCTCGAGGTGATTCAGCAACGAGACGCTAACCGGTGTGTGTATGCTGCGCTTCTACAGTGTCGCGCCAATTCGTCGATGCCTTTATATACTCCCCCCGATTCTCGAATGTTCTAGAAGCTTCTAGAAGCTTCGTGAGCCTCTCCACAGCCAACTTCCGCTCAAAATGCTTCCAGAGGAGCCACTATTTTCCCCCAATTTCGACAGTTGAATCTTTTTAACGAAACAGAAGTGATTTTTAAAATTAATTAGAGCAGACGGATATTTTTTGGGACTTCTGAGGGGCTTCGGAGTTGTGTGGTGAGTTTTTTAGGTGAGAATATGACGAACCGGCCACTTCCGGAATTTGTTAGGCACACATGTTCTGGAAACATCTCCCGCACGCGTACGTCAGCTCCTCCCGCATTGCATGATAGACACATCAGTTTTATTTTTATTTTTTTTCGGGGTGAATTGCAGGCTCTATGAAAAATTTTGAGATCTTTGGTTTTTAATGAGAAGGTTAGTTAGAGGTTTTTAATAGAAGAATTGAAAGGTTTTGTTTTGTTTTTGGTAGCTTTGGGGGATTATGCACCTGGAAAATATTGTTATTAACGAAAAATGATTTTGAGGTGAATGACAGGGGAGAATTTATGTTTTTTTGAAACAGAAATGGCATATTTTGGTCATTTTATTTATCATTGATTTAATAACTAATTAATTCTTAATAATTCAATAATTGATAATTTTTGAAATTTAGATATTTCAGGAATTATTAGTTGGAGGAAAATTAATTTTATTTTTCTATTTTTTTTATGCGCATAACAAATATTTTTGGTAACAAAAATATGATTTTTAAATTAATTAGACGGGAGAATTGCTGATTCTTTAAACCAGAACTGGCACATTTTGTTCATTTCAATTATTATTAATTTTATAATTAATTGATAATTAATAATTTAATAAATAATAATTATTGAAATTAATTTATTTCAGTAATTACTATCTAGAGGAAAATTAATTTTTCTGTTTAATTTTTTTTATGGACATAAAAAATATTTTTATCAACAAAAATATTACTTTTAAATCAATTGCAGGGGAGAATTGATTTTTTGAAACAGAAATGGGATTTTTTTTTGTTTATTTCAATTATTTTTTCCGATGCGGCTAAAAAAATTTTTTTTTAATAATTGAGAGGAAAATTGTCACTGCTCTAAAATTTATTTTGTCGAAAGAGCGTTCGATAATTTAGAATTCGGCATATTTGCAAAACTAAAACAGACGGCCGCAGAGGCCAAGGGCTTATTTGTTTAATGAATTTGACAAAGATGGTCAGATGAAGGCTATCATTGTCTTCTCTAGGGAGGACTTCAATCGTGACTTCAATCAAATTTAATTAGCAAATGCGGCGTGACTGCGCTGGCATCACCCGCGCATGCGCTCTGGAAGAGGGGGAACGGGATGTCAAATTTGAATCGACCAATGTGTTTAGTGGTTTAATTTTTTTCATTGAAATCGGCATTTAGACGATAAATGTTAGAGAATTCTAGAATATTCTGGAATATTGTCGAAATTGTCGAATTGTAGAGTAGAAAGTGGTGAAATAAAAGTACAATTTAATTAGACAAGAGTAAAAATTCGGTGAAGATAAATTGAATTTCAGTAGTTTCGGTACAGTCCTGGATTATTATGCTCACATTGCAATTTTAAATTTTATATTTTCTCTGTGAAAGCTCTCCAATCAATCGAGAAATTTTTATTAATTTTTTTTTTACGGTTCAAACATTTTCATGAAGACCGAATAATCCTAGAGGATTTTCCTAATGATTCTCAAATTTTTTAAACGATTTTCTACTAGTCTTGACCGATGTGTAACTTTTTAGAACAGTCCATGATTTTTCAGAAAAACTGACATCTCAAATTGACATAAATTATCTGAAGTATGCATAAAAATTTGGATTCGAAACGTAATTTTACCGAAAAAAAAATATACATAATTAATGTAAAGAGTTTTTTTATAATTTTCTAGAACTGATGTTTTCAATCATCTCCATATTCTTAAATTGAAGTGAAGGAATCAGGGGATTTGGAGAAATAACAACAACGTTGATTAAATTGTCGAAAGAAACGACGTTTCGCTAAATTATTTTATTTCATTTTTTATTTTAGCTTGACTAAGCGAAAATGATTTCCGAAACCTCAGCTTCTGGATTAATCGTGAAATTCCATTTCCAAAAATGAATAAACATCCTCAATGTTCCAAACAATTCATGTAAAATCTCCATGGCCATTTAATTCAATATATTTTTTGAAAACGTCCTCTAGTTTTACGTTTATTTTTTAAATCTCCCAATAGGTGTCACTTATCAATTAAAATGTAAATAAACCCCATAAGAATCCTTCTACAAGCAAAAATTTGTTCACGTCAGTTTGTCAATGCACTTGCAAAGGATTTGCTCTCAATCACTCAAAAAATAACAATTATTCAAAAAACATAATCGCTCAAAAAATAATATAATTATTCCAAACACTAAAACATTCTATTTTCGAAAAATAAATTTGCTTCCAAATATTCCCCAATCAGTTAAAAAAAATAACAGAATTGCCCCAAAATTAAAAAATTCTGTAGCGAAACAATTTAAACGGACTGAGCTCTCAGCTGAGTTTTCGCGGAATATCTTCGAATCTAGAAGAGATAGCAAATTTTTGATAACCACCTTTTTTGTAGAGCGAATTGAGGGCTACAAAAAATGTTATACCAAAAATTTTGCTATCTGCCGTAGATTCCAAGATATTAATTCGAAACTAATTATCAAAATCGACTCCAACTGTGTTACCGTCGCTCCTGAATTAGATTTTCGGAAAATGAATAAACACCCAATTGTCTAATGATATCTACATCACCATCTTTTTTCCCGAATAAAACTCGATCCAGAACAATACTTATTTTCCATAATTCCCTGCTGACCCCCAGTGAAACGCGTCCCCCAGAAGATGCTTGCATATTCCCTCGTCATTATGAAATAATCCATCCAGTGAGTATTCTCCTAACACTGTGGGAACAGTCCAATCGTCACGCACCGCGTATCCACCTAAAAAGTTGTTAACATTCCTCCAGTGTCTACAAAAACACCGAGGAAACAACGGAGACAGTTAACATGTTAAAAAACTTCTTCTATTGTCGTTAACGAATTCCCATGTATTTATCAAAACCTTGCTCGTTATACGCTCGTTTGATTATAAGCACAATGCACTGGGTGGTTCATTCACAGCTGAGGGTATCATTAAAACAACGAAATATAACAAT